GTTAAAAATCCAAAAAGTATACTTCTAAAAAGACAGGAAAGGATCCATCATATTGGGCATATGGAAGAGTTTGTCCAGATGTTAAGGTAATATTTGGCAGAATTAAATAAAGTGTGTGAATAAGCAGTAAGATCATTTAATTTGAAGTGTTTTGTTATCTTTTTCTCATTTATTTTACTCTTCGTTTGAAAAGAAAACCTCTCCCTGGTTCACATGTGAGTTTGATTGGACATATGTTCTCAGGAAGCCCGCCACATACCAGTAGAACCATGTTCATTATCATACATGAAATAAGACAAGAGGATCAAAATGAGCTAAAGAATCAATAATATAGCACTGTCCTTTCTTTTAGCATGTTGTGAACATGTGGATATATTTAAAGGTTTCTTTACGTTGGATAATATCAAAGACAGATCCACTTGATTTTATATAACAGGCTGTTTCAAAGTAATGAACTAGCTGAACTAATGCTTTCTTGCAAAATAAATAATTCTGAGAGAAAATAGATCTTTATTCTTAAATCCTCCTCCCTTCTCAATTAATTAGATTTTGTTGGTGAAAGGAAGTTAAGAAATTCAGCATAAGCCTGATTATATCATGAATGTAAAATGAGCAGGGCAAATAATGGGCTCTATACTCTTTCAAACAAGTTAAATAAGCCCATAATAGCCCACCAGTTGTGTAAACACTATTTCACTATACTTGTAAAAGAAATATTGACTTACCTGTTAACTAAAATTATCCTGGCATGCTTCAACCAAGCTTATTAGTAATTCTTGTGGTGTACATGAATGTTTTTAGTGGTGGACTTTTATCAAAGATTAAAGAATTAGGAAATCATCCATTTAGCAAGCCCAGAAAGTAGACACGTACCAGATTGCGCTTTACCAGAATCGATTTTAGGACCTTGCAATCAAAGAGTCTGAGAAGTAATAAGTGATTTAAATTCTGGCATGAGATCTTCCATTACATACCGGCTCGTTAACACTGAGATACCTTCCAAAATCATAAATAAGAACATTTCACCTAGACAAAATACTAAATGAATAGCCTACTAGCCTTACTATCACAAGTAAAGGTATTGTTGTTTTGCTCTGACATCTCACCAGAATGTATTCCTGTGAGCTATCAAGAGAAAACAGAAATGTATATATTTAAGAGGAAAAAGCTTGAATATATACTTGCCCCTACTCTTCACATACAAAGCCACCATTCTCTGCTCCAGCTGGTTCCATTGCAGTCCAAAAGACTATACTTTTCTTTTAAAAAAAATATGTGATGGGGTCCCTGCCTAGCTCAGTTGGTAGAGTATGCAACTCTTGATCTTGGGGTTGTAAGTTCAAGCCCCACACTGAATGTAGAGATTACTTAAAAATAAAATCTTTAAAAAATAAAAATTTTTTAAAAATGTGAATTTCTTTCTCAATGAAATGACTGACAGTAAACCCAAGATCTTATCCAGTTTAAGTCTGTGTGTGTGTGTGTGCGTGCATGCGTGTGTGTGTGTGTGTGTGTGTGTTTGAGGGTGGGAGTGGTAGTGCTTAGAATTCTCAAGGGATTTGGAAAAGAACTTAAAGTCTTAAGACTCAAGTTAGAATTTTAGTTCTATCACTGGCTTGCTGGTCTCCATTAGGAAAACCACTTGCATTTCCTATTCTTAAAATTGGGGTAAGAATAATACCTATCTCTTAAACTTGTTAAGAGGACCCAGTGAGGATATGAATATATAAAGAGCTGAGTTGATGCTGATGGTTATTATAATGCAATTTGAGAAACTGATCTTATAAATTAAATGGTATTTGCCACAAAACAGACAGACTACTCCTCAATGTCCTTACTAGAAATTTTTTATTTAGTGTGCAAGGAATTTGATTTGCCATATTCTCATCTTTATTAGTTCAGATAAAATGACTAAGATACATGCATTCAGGCAATACAATTACCATTAGCCAAATCATTCCTATTTTCAACCTATATGATTTCTATCTTTTAAGGTCTACAAGACCTTGGGGGTTCATCTGGTCACTCTTAAATGTCCACACTTCCTGCACTTTCAGGTTTTTACTGAGCATTCTTGCCTATAAGTGATCACAACTAAATCCTCACTCACTACCTCAAACAAAACAAGACAAAATTGATTGGTTCACCAATTTGGAGGCGATGGGTAGAAATAGTCTTAGATCCAGGTGTTTAAAAGATAACCCTAGGATTTTGCTTCTCTCTTTACTAATGCTAATAATGTCCAGTGAGTTTTCTCTACAGCAGAATAACAGCGCCCCTGACTCTAATTTTCCTTGTCCTTAAACTCAAGAAGCCAGAGAAGATCTTCTCACCCCAGGGTCTATGACAATCCCTCAAACAGATTCAGATTTCATTGCTTGGGTCATATACCTGCCCAGGGGCAGGGAGGTAGAACCACACAATAGCCCCTCCAGAATCAGTTAAAGGTTCCCAAGAAGGGTGGAGTGTTCCAACCAAAAGGAGAGAGGGGAAACACTGGCATGCAGATAGACAGGTAGATAGATAGATAGATAGATAGATAGATAGATAGATAGATAGATAGATAGATAAACAGATGCTCAATATACCTGGCCTCATTCAACACAGCTGTCTACCCCCATTTAACTGAATCAGAAATCCCTCTACTCTACATGAATTTATTAACAAGCTTTAAATCCTGAAAAGAGGAGGAAAGGCACTAACACAGGTTTGAAAATCTATTCTGCTCTAGGCCGAGTTCCAGACATTTTCACATTTAGAACAACGTAGGTGCATAATTACCCGCCTTTTACAGAGAAGGTAGCTAAGACAGGTGGGCTCATTCTGCGCCTCTGATCAAATTGCCTGAAACTGGCAGAACCTACATTCAACTCTGGTTCTGCCTGATTCATTCTACAACTAAAGTGTTATGCTCTTTTCAACAACCCTGAAGTCAAGAAAGTATTGCCAAAAGTTTTTAGGCAGGAGGTGGACACAACCATATTTGGATGCCTATGTTGATAAATCAGTCAGTCAGTAAATATTTGTTAGGTTTGGGGTCACTACTGTGAGCTTCAGTCCTAGAGGTAAAGATAAGACAAATGGCCTAGTCCCTGCCTCCAAAGTTGTCACAATAAAGTTGGCAAAACAAAACAAATATGCTTTCAAGAAAACCTCAGAACTAAATTTTGTGGTATTTACAACATACTGTTCAGTGAGACTCGTCTTCCGTGGGATTCCCCTTCAGACTGCAAGCTCCATGCCGAGAGCTAACTTCCCCTCAGGTTGCTGCTGCATCATGATCATCGTTGTTCTACAAATAGTGGTTGCTTGATGATTAATGCAGACTGCGGTCATGGGAGGTTTCATAAAAAGAATAAATCTTGAGTTGCACTTACAAAATAAGTAATCTGCGGGAAAGAAAAAAAGTGGGAATGAAAATAGGCAATTAGTAGGCATTCTATACATGTGGAAGGAATGGCTGGGAGAAACAATAATGTGGGAATGAGCAAAGTGATGGTAGGGGATGTGGTGTGCCTAGGGATAAGTGAAGAAACAGTCCAGAACCGGGCACTGCACTAATGTCCAGAAACCAGGCTTAACTCAGAGTTTTCAGCAGCCTCTGTCAAATTTTCCAGTATCTCTGGGCCACATAGTTCCTTTATTTGCAAAACGAGGAGGATGGAGTTTCTAATTCTTAGCCACTCTACCCCTCCATCTAATCCAGAGAATCACAAACTTGCAAATGATGGGATTCACCCAAGAAAAGGACATGTTCAGAATACTCATTTAGGTCCAGGTACCTATATTAATCATAAAAGCCCATTTAGCCCCAGGTACCTATATTAATCATAAAAGCCCATAAAAGCAGGTGATCAGCCAGGTGTGGGGATCACTCCTTCAACGAAGGAGGGTAAATACATCTAACAAAAAAGAAAAAGAACTTCCCAATTGTAAAATTCTGAAGTTTATTCGGAAATTCGGTGGGAAAGGCTAAGTGGAAGAAGACTAAGAGAGGCCTTGAGAGCCAAAAGGGTTCTCCACCTTCATGAAACAAGGAGGCATTGTACCCCAGAGAGAAAATTGTGCATTTTTGTGAGTTGATGTGACAGGCTTGGGCTGTCACCTCTTTCAGCCACTCTGTCTCGGGTCTGGAGACGTTTGACTTGTTCCCACTGAGGCTGTCTCTCCAAGAAAGCCCTAAGTCCTTCTCCTTTCTCCCCTAGTTTCACCCTAGGGCACTTGCTGAAGTGTGTGAGAAGACACATTCTGCACTGGTACTCGGCAAAGGTTCTCCCAGAGCCCCGTGCCTCTTGCCTGGGGGGACGGGGGTGGGGGGGGCTGCCCTAGAGCACCCTAGGGGCACTTGGCAAGAAAAGGCCCCTCCCTGAACAAAAGCAAACAGCCATCTGTCTGTCCGTCCGGTATTGTTCTACTAAAGGTGACTTTCCAGGGGATCCTGAAACACTTCAAAAAAAATAGCCCTTTCGACTTCTCGCCCCAAAGTTAGGAAGGCAGAATTGCAGTCCTTGCTCACGAGCCGTATTCATTTAGCCATTAACCCGGCACTTTGATTTGAAGGCAAAAGCGAGCTATACGGCGTGCTGTGAGGTATGGATCAAAAAGGCCACCCATCGTTCGCCCGGGAATGCCTGCCTCCTTACCCTGATAACTTTTTCTGGATTGAATTTTAGTCTTTTTTTTAATCACTCCATGTATTCCACCCATTATTTGAAGGGGGCATGGAGGAAGCGTGCTGCGTCCTTCGGTCTCTGCGCAGCCGTGTGTGTCCCTCAGGCAGGTCCCTTTCGGCTCTCGGCTCTGGGTCGCCACGACGCCCAGGGGAATGAGGGTGGGGGGTCGCCCGGCCCTCACACGGGGCCGAGCGCCGGAATCCGCCCGGCGGCGGCCCAGCCCGAGCGCCGAGAGCCAGCCGGCACCTCTCGCCGCCAGCCGCCTCCCAGCCGGCGATCGGGAAAGGAGGGAGGGGGCCGGAGGAGGGAAAGTGCGGCCGGGCGGGGGGTGCCTGGGAAGCCGGGCTGCGCTGACGTCACTGGGCGCGCAATTCGGGCCGGAGCGCTTTAAAAAACAAGCGTGCGAGCGGAGATGCTGCTCCACACCGAGCAGGCGGCCTGCAGCAGCAACGCTCTCTGCCCCTGCGGCGGCCGCAGCCAGGGCCGCTCCGGAGGCCCGCGTGGCGGCAACGGGCACGGCCCGGCCCCGCGGCGCTTATCCTCGGTGCCCCCGCCGTGGGGCAGGAGCGCGGCGCCCAGCGCTGCAGGCGAGCGCTAAGCGGCCGAGGCCCGCGGCACCCCGGACGCTGCCCTCCGACCGCGGCTCGCTCCCGGCCCCCCGCCCGGGCACCATGGACACCTCCCCGGTCGGCGTGCTCCTGTCCTTGCCGGTCCTGCTGCAGCTGGCGGCCGTGGGCGGTTCGCCGAGGCCCGGCGCGCTGCTGCGGGGGTGCCCCGCGCACTGTCAGTGCGAGCCCGACGGCAGGATGCTGCTCAGGGTGGACTGCTCGGACCTGGGGCTCTCGGAGCTGCCCGCCAACCTCAGCGTCTTCACCTCCTACCTGTAAGTGCGCGCCGCTCGGCTCCGGGAAGGGGGCAAATCGGGGGAGACCAGCCCGGGGGTCTGGAAGGGACCGGGCGAGTTTGCAGAGGGCATCTTGGACAGACGTGTTTGGGCCCCAGAGAAATGCACGTGTCTCAGGGTGGGCACAAGCGCACTTTTCGGGCCCGCAGAGAAACGGCTTCAGATGCAAGCCCCAGAAAGCGCTAGTGCGTCGCAGCTTCCCAGTGCAGCTCTAGGCTGGTCGCGGGGCTCCCGGTTGTAGGCATTTGCTTGCAGTGTGGGCATTTGCACCCCTGAGCCTGGAGCCTAAGGGCGGGCTGCCCAACTGACCCCTGCCCCAACCTCCCCTCCGCGTCGGGCCGCGTTCCACGAAGACACGGGCTATAAAAAGTTTCCCCGAAAGAGAACTCCGACTTGCCCAGCCCCAAAGGAACTTACTCTGCACCCCTTGCACGGACGTGTGATGTAACCTTTTTCTTTTCTTCTTTTCTTGATTTTTCTTTCTTTCTTTCTTTTAATGAAGTGATTAAAATGTAGCAACCACAAACCCCGATTAGAGCTGCCAGAACGTTATCTTTACCTTTGGCTGCCCGAGCCGCCCTTTGAAGTGCCCGCGGCCACGGTGTAATCTTTAACCATCTCCTCCTCCCGGGGAGGAAAAGGGAAGTGGGCTGAAGGCGGTGGGGCTGGTAAACAGCGACGCCGACTACCCGGAGGAGACCCGAAGCTCTCTGTCACCCCTCGGGGATCCTCCTCCCCCACCACCGCCTCCACAGCCCCAACCGCGAAGACGAGGCTGCGGCTCATTTCATAATTTTGTCTCTGGAACACCGAGGCCCGAAGGATAACAGGTGGTTGGGTGGATGAGGTGACCCAGGAGGAACCCGATTCTCGGGGACCAAGGCGACTACTTCCCCCAAACCCATAGAGTGTCTGCGGCTCGGTTCCTTCGGGCAGAGAGAGACCAGGGTCAGAGCCACTCTGAAAAAGGGGTCACGAGGTGGTCACAAGGTGACACGTTTAGGTTTTAATTCGAGCCACAGCCGTGAGCCCACCCCAAGCCCACGCAATCCCAATTTCGGCTTCTCTGATGTACCTTGGCAGGAGCGAGTTGGGATGTTTGTGTGAACTCGTTCTCTCCTCTGTTGAGTTGTTTTCTGGAGAAAAGAAACATGAAGAGGCTTGCACAACGCCTTCCACTAGATAGTGATTCTTTTTCTAGAGACAGAATGAGAAAGACAAAAATTTTTTTATTTGCTTTAATATTGCGTTGAAATTCAGAGGGCACCATCCTGCTAGATTTTAGTGTTAGATGGCAGTCCCCTTCTCATCTACCATAAAACTATTTTGGGTGCTTTTCTTTACTTGAAAAGATTATAAAATTATTTATTTCCCCACCAGGTTTTCCTCCAATTACACTCATTGCGTGTGGTAGTGATTTGTTTCCAGTGGTGGAAACGACCATTCTCTAAGAATTCACATTTCTTCTTCCTCAACAGCTGTCTGTACTACAAAGTGACATACATGCTCATCCCCAGCCTCTGGTTTAAATGCTAAACTCATTGTTTCAAGAATCATGTGGTCTTCTGTATAGTGAATTTTTGAGAGCAGTTTGGTAACTGCACTTAAGAGCCTGGAACTATTCTTCCCCGTCACCCTGAAGAAATTGATTAGATACAAGGGCGGTGTGCAATCCCCCCAAACACTGATAATTTTAATCATGCACTTGTCATAAGACATGTTTAAGAATACAGAAAATAAATTTATGAGTAGTGTCAGGATGCTTTTTTTTCCCACTTGAAAGAATGAACATTTGTTAGGCTTCTGTTGCTAAAAGTTGGCATCAAATGCTGTTTCAGATTATTTCCCACATACCTCAAATGCATTTAACTGTGTCCTCCCTGTGTGAGGAGAGCTTACTGCCACTGTTCCTTATCTATCTATCATTATAGATAACCCCTCGGAGTTAAGATAGCATTAGGAAGTTAATTGTCATCTTTTTCTCGTGCTGTTTGATGACAGCCTTACTCTGGCCTAAGGGGAAATTTTCTCAGTGCCCTATAAAATCTTAATCTCGAAGTGTCTGAAAAGTGTCACAGTGAATGTTAAATACTTGCTTCTCGTGGCCAACACGTCAGGCACCATGAGTTGCTGAACGTAGAAATCAGTCCTGAAGTAAATAACCAAACCGATGTTCCTCATAAGGTGCAGTTTCAGAATTTGGTCTCCTTATAGAGTACAAAATGTCAGGAGCCACGGGATGCCCTTTCTTGGGGGGTGGGGGTGGATTTTGAGGGGTTGAGGGGCTTGGAGTTTTTTGGGTTTTGTTTTTACAACCACAGGAACTCTGTGCAGACATTAAGGGTAGATGGTGCCCTCTTTTGGTTACACCTAGAATTATCTGACCATTTCTGCCTTCACTTGTGCACTCCTAACCTAAAAGAGAAATTTTTATTTACTCATATTCAAATAAATGTACAGGTTTCCTTATTTTAAGAAATAACTTCCCTTTGCTCTTGAAAGAGACCACGAAATTATAGCCCCATACCGCTGGGGCCCGGTCGTAATTAAACTTTGGGGAGAACATCAAACTCTGCCAAGGACTGATGTGGGTAAAAAGGCAGACTACTATCTTTTATTGTTTGTAGTAGGTTATCACCATTTATCTGAGTCAAAATATTATCTCTTCATCTTCCTCCCCTACCCACAAAAGAACAAGCATTTAATTTTCTTCAAACAGATTGATGATGGCAAGTTGCCGCTGGACACATTTGGCAAATGGACTTGCCATCATCTGATAGCTGGCTAGTCAGACTGATAGGTAAAGAAGGTTTTCTGAACCTCTTCATATAAGGCAGGAGCTATTTATGTGCAGTTTTATAATCTTTGTTCCCCCAGAAAAGCTGAATCTTAAGCCAGTCTAAACATTAATATTAATTCTCTTTTCTTACTGAACTGCATTCCCCAGTAGATCTGTAATTGGACCACTGAACATGGTGGAAACACTGGAAAATCTCAATCTTAATCTTCTCTTTCTCTCTCTCTCTCTCTTCCAGTTGTTTTGGGCTCTGATTTCACAAAATAATAAATAGGCTAATAAAGCTCCCTCTGCATTAAAATAAGGAAAACACTAAAGTTGAGACATAAAAGCAGGCAGTAATTGTTTGTAGTGTTTAATACATCTCAATCTACCAGTAATGATCTGTCAGAAATAAAGTAGCTCTAGCAGATAATCTTATTCTAGGTAAATTATTTTAATGCATGAAATGTGGACATTTTTTGCTAATTGGGTCTTAAAAATAATTTCCCCTATGCTACTTAGATGTGCCTTTCATCCAGTTAGTGTGGCATCCAGATAGAAAAACTAAATCCTTATGAACATCCTAATATAGTTTTAGTATAGAAAATATACTTTTCTTTATTGATCTAGAACAGCCATTTTATTTTTAAATGAACACTGAGTTTTTCCCTGCTGTTGCTTGAAGACATAAACATTTCATCCACAAGCAAATTCATGAACCAAAGGAACCAGGAGAATGAATTTTTTTTTTAATTTTTGTGTAGCTTGCTTACTTTTCCATATGTAACTTTATAACAAAATTTAATTTTACACATAGTTAGCAAAACTGGTATTAATAAAAACTGATCAAAACCCTCAATTATAACTAATTAAGTATGGCCCTGGTGTCATACATATGTTTTAAGCATTTAAGATGCAGTTTCAAAATTAAAGAATATTTTTAGAATCTTCTTTGAAATGGTTTAATGTATTTCTGCTTCCCTGCAAGCAAAGAAAAGTATTTTAAATCAAGGAAAATGTTTGTAGTTTAGAAATGGTTACAAAGCCTTTAGCTTTTGTTATAACAGTCTTAAAATTTAGATCAATTGCTAAATGTATGCAGTTTGCTCCACAGATTGCTCTCAAAATTCATTGAAAATGGAATGATGTCAATGACTTTTCTTCATTTTAAAGAAGTTCTTTCTTTTTCTCCAGGATTCCCAGGGTTGTTTTAGTAGTGTTTTTGTTATGGGGGCAATTACTGAAACTCATTGACTAAATTATTCTGAGTGATTTTTTTTTTTTAAGCAGTGGTTCTGATTCAAACAATTTTGTGGCATAGATTTAAAGTAAATATTTTATTGAATATGATCAACATGTGCATGACAGAGTTTGTGTGACAAGAATGAAGTTTTACATATAAGAAATATGATCTTCAATCAGATCTTCAATCTTTTCTTGTCCTTATGCGTTTTCTTCAAAGTAAAGGAGCTTTAGGGTGCCTGGGTGGCTCAGATGGTTAAGCATCTGCCTTCAGCTCAGGTCATGATCCCAGGGTCCTGGGATCGAGTCCCGCATCGGGCTCCCCGCTCAGTGGGGAACCTGCCCCCCCCATCTCTTATGAATAAATAAATAAAATCTTCAAAGTAAAGGAGCTTTGATAACAATCACAAATGAATTAGAAGATTGGAATTAAAAAGAAGAACCCATTTGTAGTTAAATAAAATGTATTTTGATAATGGAACCATTCCCACTTGGATGTGTTTGAAGAAGTTCAAAAACACTAAGTTTTGGTCTATGATTTCTCATAGTTAAATTTTTTAACTGAACTATTTGATTTTTTTTTTAATTTCCAAGGCACCTGTCAAAGGCATAGAAATAGTATCCATGTAAGCAATTAACCCCAAAAAGCTGTCATATAATTAAAGACATTGCAGAATATTTGTAGTTTTATAACTGATACCTAATAACTACTGACCTTAGTAAACCATTTTTTATGTTTTTTCTATTAAACTCATACATGTAAGTCATTTTAGCTATAAGTTGAAGTATGTTTCCAATTAATCCAAATCATAATGCCATATGATAGAAATGAAAAACAGTAGTGAGCTCTGCATTGAGCAATTCTGTGGAGTAATTTTTTGTTTTTGTTCAGTTATTTATATAAATTTAGAATAATGCTAAATGGTACATTTCCTCATAAACACCCCACAAGTGGGTA